GTGTGTTCACGGCCAAGGAGTGTTTACGGCCAAGAATGATTAAGTGTTTACAACCAAAAGCTTGGTCTAAGAGGGGTTTACGGCCATATCATGATCCTATGAAGGGTTTACGACCGTAAACTCTTGAAGATGTTGCATTTTAGGTGTTTGTTTCATGGGGATTTAAGAGCTTCTAATGGATAACAAGTGAATGGAAAAGATACTTACTTAATGGCAGTCTTGAAGGTGTTCACGACCCCAAGAACAAGTGTATGTTCTTGGTGTTCTCGGTGAAAAGATGAAGGCTTGAAGATCTTGAAGGAAAAGTGATGAATTAAAGGATGTGATTCATAGGATTCATATGATCATGAAGATTAACTAGCAAAGGGGATGGATAACTTACATATTTGAAGAGAAATGGAAGTGTTCTTAATGATACTTGAGAGAGAAATGAGTGTTCTTGACTTGAAGATGTGAGAAGTGAAGAAATAATGAAGGAAGTATATGATATAGGAAAGGGTTCACGACTGCCAAGAGTTTATGACCGTAAAATCTAGTTTGCGGCCGTAAACTCCTTGTGATGGAGTTTCCAGCTTGAATGCAACACAATGAACTTTAGTTAACACATCCTATCACACAATCCTTGAATGTACTAGGCTTAGAACACTCAAACAGACCCTTAACAATGCTAAAAGATAGAAGAAACAAGTCTGACTTTTGATTGAATTGAATGGCTTTACAAGATAGAAATTTTGGGTTGTCACAAAAAGTGCTTATCTGATAACCCTCGTCGTTCCCCTGGATGAGATCGAAGTAAACGAGAATCTCCTGTTCGTCGAAGAGCCGGTTGAGATAATGGACAGGGAAGTGAAGCGTACAAAACAAAGCCGCATTCCGATTGTGAAGGTTCGATGGAACGCAAAGCGCGGGCCGGAATTCACAAGGCAACACGAAGATTAAATGATGCAAAAGTACCCTCACCTTTTCTCTAGTTCCTAAGAATAACTTTCAAAAGAATTTCGGGATGAAATTCCCTCTAACGGGGGGATGATGTCACAACTAGCATTTTTGTCTAGGAAATTATGTCTATGTATGATTAACCTTTGATGTATCTTGTAACTCTAAGTTTGATGTTATACATATTATTCACTCAAAAACAACTATTTGGATCAAAACTCACTCGTGAAGCCCTAAACCTAATTCAATGCACTACACTCACTCAATTTAGGGCTTGTAACCCTAATTTCCCGGTTCAAACCCCTTATTGGGCCAGTAATCATTTATTGGGCCTAATGGGCCAATAAACCCAAAACTTGATTATTTTGGGTTAAGATACCTCATTTGGGCCCTAATTGGGCCTACATTCGCTAAGTAATTGATTTTGGGCCATAAGACTCATCATGGCCCTTATTGGGCCGAAAACCCATTCCTTTGTCATTTTGGGCCGTAAACACATATGTGGGCCCAATGGGCCGAAAATCCTTATTGGGCTAACATACTCTCGACTTTTATATGCACAATTCAAGCCCAACACCACATTTCTTTCTTTCCCTCACTCCATTCTCGGTAAAAAAAAAAGGGAAATGGAATTTAATTTAGGCTTGACAAGACATAATTAAACTTCATGTATCAAGGTAATCACATACATCTAGAAACCTATTATCCTCCATGCAATAATGTCTAATCTGTATCCTCCTTCCTCTCTACTTACGGCCGAATATCCCACACCCCTCCCCACTTCATCCATCTTCAATCCCTAAAATCCTCTAATAACTCTCAAGAAGTCTCTAATTTCTCCTACAAGAAATCGTGAGTTAGTGTGTGTGTGTGTGATCAAGAAGGTCCTTCAAACTCGCATACTAGGTAAGCTACTTCACTCTTAAGTTGAATAAATCCATCTTATGCTAAGATCTTCCTTCAAAACCTCCCCAATCTGGTGTTTATGCTCCTAGAACACTCTAGGAACCGAAAATCTCATCAAAGGAGCTTGCAAGACTGAAAACACCTCCTTCCCTTCTTCAAAACCGAATCCATCATCAAGGTGAGTTCATACCCCCTTGTTTTCGGTTTTTACTATGTTTTGGGGGAGGATACAAGTTGCTTTTGTGTTAGATCTATGTATTTATGCATGTATATGTGTGTTTTCATGTTATATGTTGTGATTATGTTATGAAAACATGTTAAATCTTCACCAAACTCGAAATATCTACTAAACTTGGTGATGTTTGTAAACTAAACCATCTTATGTGACTTACTATGAAGTTGAAAGGATTAAACATGCTAAGGAGGTTTGAAAACTAAATAAAACTGTATAAGGGGCCATATTTGACAAATAAACAAAAGATGAGGCCTTTATAACACTCACGGTTTTTTAGAGGACCAAAAGAGTCATTTTTAAATAAAAAAATGGATCTTTATGATATTCACGGTTTCAAAGGGGCCAAAAGTGTTAATTTTCACAAAATGGGCTTCTATTTGGGCCTTCACGGTTTTAATAGGCTAAATTTGTCAATTTTCACAAAATGGGTCTTGTTTAGAAATTCATAGTTTCATGGGCCTAAAAAGGTAATTATTGACTTTTTATGGATTAAATTGTTATTTTAAACAAACATGGGCCAAAAATGTAAATTTTCGGTTAAATCGGTTGAAAATGTCATTTCTATTAAATTTGGGCCGAAAATGTTATTTTTTATCAAAAGTTGGCTGAAAATGTCATTTTATTCAAAATGGGCCCTTAAATGTAAACTTTTGGTCTTAATGGGCCTAAAGTGTCATTTTTACCAAAAGTTGTGCATTAATTGTAAATTTTCGGCTTAATGGGCGAAGAATGTTATTTTTACAAAAAGTGGGCCTTTTATGTCATTTTGTTAAATAATTGAGCTAAAACAAGCAATATGATAACAAACGGGCTAATTACGTCATTCTCACTTTTATTGGGCCTTGTTTACCCATTTTCATGTTATTGGGCCTTCGTGGTCCATTTACATGCTTACTGGGCCTGATACATTCATTACATGTTTATTGGGCCTTAGTGACCCATTTACATGCTTGATAGGTCCTGTATACTCTTTACATGTTTATTGGGCCTCGTTGACCCATTTACATGCTCGATAGACCTTGTATACACATTTCATGCTTATTGGGCCTCATTCATTCATGTACATACACATTGGGCCTTGTAACCTAAATACATACACGGAAACATTGTTTAAAACATTAAATAGTGTGTTACAATATTCGCGTAAACATAGTTAAGGTTCTTGTGAGACGTTCTTTCATTCGTACCTACCTAGTGTACAACCTTAAGTCCTGTAGTTATAACTAGAGTCTCCTGGAGGGAGAGCGAGAATTTGTGTATAGATCTATACGGGGTTGACAGCCCCATACCTGAGTTGTTCGCTATAGCTAGACTAGGCCAGTCTAGGGTGACAAATGTCTTACCTTAAACAAGCGACGCCTGAAAAACGTCATGACATGCATAATAGTCATATCAAGTATGGTTATAACAATTCACATAGAGATTAACTCCACTGTAAAAATTTACGGAATACATATACTTTGATGCTGATACGAAACCATACAAACACCATTTTTCGGTCTTAGGGTTTTAAGACTACAACACTTTTACAAGCAGAAAATATCGGATTTTCTGGGAAAATACATTATACATTACGCTACAATAGAAAATATAGGATTTTCTGGAACTCTCTCCTTATATATTTTCAAAAATATGAACACACATGCTGTAATACACGATTTGAAACAAAACTCTCAAACCACTTTTACGGGAAATATCGGATTTTCTGGAGTTTACAAATGATACAAAACTTTTCTTACAAACATGCTTATGAACTCACCAACATTATATATGTTGACCGTTTTCAAAATAACTTGTATTCTCAGGGAATCGTTAAGCAGATTGGACATCCAGAACAGGTGGATTTTTGTTGTATTTTGTTATCATCATACATTAAACATTTGGAATGTAATTTGTAACCCAACACACTTATGTAAACTATGATGGTTGTTATATTGTATGTGTGATGATGATGATGTTTTGTTTCAATTATATACACTGTGATGATATTACAAAATGAAGTCACCTAACCCCGGACGTTTCCGCCGTTCTGGTTCGGGGTGTGACAACGAAACAACAACCACTAGAAATATATCCAGAAGCATCTTCCCTGTTTGCGTTTGAAGGAAGCATCAGCTTGTGCCATTACACCTCAAACCATCTTCCCTGCAAACCATCGACTGCCATAAAATCAGCATCGACTGCTATCTCATTTCACCTTTCTTCATCTAACAGAGCAGAAGGAAGAGGGCGTTGGCAAAGAAAAAAGGATCGAAGATGAACATCGCAATCATTCATCCTGATCTCAGAATCGGTATGTACTCATCACAGACACGAATATTGTACAACCGTATAATTTTGCTTTACTTTGTTTGAATTCAGATCACCTGTTATCCCTTCAATTTTGATGTGCTTTTGTAGGATCTAATGAGCACTGGTATTAAAGGACGACGTATTCACCCCAATCGGATGTCTCGGCCTCTGGAACCTGATCCCGAAGCATCGGTTACACCATCAGGTAGTGATCTCTTTAAATCCGATGGGTTTCTGATTTGGGTTTAACGAATCGGCACAAACCCCTAATTTAAACACATCATTCGAGTAATTTTGTTTCCATACAGATTGGTTAATCCTTTAATTAGGGGACTACGTTACGTTAACAGATTCGTAAATTGAGATATCACTAGTTCTTGGAGCTGATTGTGTAACACATTTATGTAATCTGCGTACATAAATTTTGTTTTCAGAAAGCGTTAGGTTTGAAATGAATATTGGATGAAGCTTTTTGTTTGAACAACATCCTGGGAGATGTTTATAAATCTATGTTTCTTTTAAATTGAATCTTTGTGATATTTGTTCATCTTTTGTACAAGAACGTTCTATATATGTTGTTAAGATGTTCCCCAATGATGATTGTGACCATTTTTTCTAGGTGTATGCAATAATGGAGATACAGACACCTGAAACTTCAGAGAATTCAACCTCACTTCCTATTACAAGCACAGAGATAACTGAGACTTTGGAACAATTAACACCACCTGTGATTGCCCACCCACAGACAACTGAAACATCTGAGCCGCCACTGCCACCGCCTCCGGTGACAAACATGCCGAAAAGTGAAGCTTCTTTGCCTGAGGTTACAAACACACATACAACTGAACCCTCAGATGATACTGATTCCACCCCTCCACCTGTCATAAACACACAGTCAACTGAAACCTTGGAGCAATCAATCCGTCCCCCTTTGACAGAAACAAAGACAACTGAAACTATAGAGAAATCAGTCATACCTCCTGTAGTCACTGATAATAGTCATCATGATAACTTGGTTTTCTTCTCCTGAAAACCACCAGTGAGTGTTTTATTACTTTTTTTTAATCATAACATTATAACTGTGGTAAACAACTTATAAGCCTTATTTGAAGTTTAAACCCCAGGGTTATAGAAATGAGGCAAGAGACTGCTGAACAAGGAGAGGAAATAAGTGTTGGTTATTTTCATAACCAAAACATAAAACGCGGAAGTATAAACTTTGGATCTTTAATCTCGAATCTGATTAAAAGAAAACTTAAACATGAAATAACAATTACATACCTGATTTCATTATGATCTTCGGATCTGAATAACTAGGTTGGGTTTTCTAGTTGATCTCAAGAGCTCTCTCTAAAATCCCTCAATAAACCCTAATGAATTTTCATGTGTATTTCGTGTGTCTTGATCTGCTCCTCATCACATGTATTTATAGATGGAGATAAACCCTAATGTGAGAGATGGAAGGGATCTTGAGGATCTTGAGTCAAACCGGGAACTCAACCCACAAATGTAAGTAAATATTCTATAAATCGGTCCATCAACAATTTATACTCTTACCATAATAACTGGATTTAATGATAACATTACATATATATGATGTGGTCCCATAATTATCTAACAATCTCCCACTGGACCACGAATATATAAATATACGTATAACTGTATAAGCGCTTTAATGAATGTTATCATAACATTGGTACCCTTAAACAATCTTGTCCACTAATCATAATAGTATAGGATCAAAGCGGTCTTCGTTACAATTTACGTAACTATACCTATCAATGGTCACATATACATATATAACTAACGACATAGATTAAACATGATGTGTGGTTTTAAAATCTAAATAGATTTCCAACGAGTTCCTGTTTAGATTGAAGTGAGATCAAACTTCAAATAAGTGCAACTAATGATGGAGTTAACCGAATCCTTAATTATGTACAGAAAAACATAATTGCTGTTAAACAACACATAAAGCACCATAACAACTCCCACTAAAACCAAATATCACACTAACGTGTGTAGTATGCTCATGAAAGACCTAGGGAGATAATCCCTTTATGAGCGGATCCGCTTTTATGGAGTTTGTTCATATGTGCTATATATATTTCTATTTTGCACTATTGTATTAACAGAAGGAAAGTTGATGTCAATATGCTTTGACTTAATAGAACTTCTGTTATTGGAATATAACATTGCTGACTTATTATCACACTTTAGTGGTCTTTCAATACCAATAATGTGTAGCCTCGTGACAAATTTCCACAACCATATTCCATGCTAAAAATTATGCTGCCATTATGGAAGAAGCTACCGAAGTCTATTCCATGAAATGACTCATCATGCTAAAATGTAAAAGTATCCCGATATGGATCGGTGACCATTTTGGCATTTAATAAAATCAGATTCTCAATAATGATCTCCAAAACATCTGATTTCCTATAGTTTAACATGTAGCCTTTTGTTATATATAGATATCTCAAAATCCATTTGGCTGCTTTCTTATGATCCAAACTTGGGTTGTGTAGATATCTGCCTAAAAACAGAAAACATAAATTTACTCTCACTTAATCTGTGATACACAAAATCATCTACTGTATTTACCTTAAAACCAAAAGAGATAATAAATTGATGAAAAATGTGGTACCACACATAGGATATCTAAAGTTGAGGTTGTTGAGTTTGTGTATTCAGAATAGGATATTGCATAACATTGTCGATCACTGATTCATAATCTGCATACTACCGAAAGCAATGATAGGAATCAAGATTGATTCCTCCTTTAGGACAATGTTTTAACCTTGTTTCTCCCTCAAACTCAACATCCTCAAAGAATGTTGCTCTATCCAAAATGCAATGCCAATATCCATGCAATTGAGAACTAACATAATGCCCTCATTCCATTCCTTAAACTTAATCTCATTGAGTACATGAATCATAAATATAATCAATGTTTCCAGATATAATAACATAATTCAAATTTGTTGTTTTGAGAACATAAGTAAATCTATTTTTATGGTCATTAATCCATAAACCATAATCAATAAATTCGTTTTATGACATCTTTACAAGGTATCAACACAACATTAATATCAAGTCTTTGGACAATAATCTTAACTTGCAAGAGATAACCATGTTTTAGTAATAAACATTGACAATAAATTATGTCAATTAATAAGCCCCTCTTTGGATTGACTTATTAATCACATTGAACCAAAAAAAATTATCACATGTTTATCACCACATATGTGTTTATTCGGCCAAATACCAGTCTACGTTTGGGTTGGCTAATACCCGCATTAATAAACACATAAACTATAAATTTTAATAATAAGAATTGACAATATATCATGTCAATCAGTAAACCCCTCTTTGAATTGACTTATTAGTGGCATGTAACCTAAAAATTATCGCATATTTATCATCAAACATGTGTTTATCCAGCCAAATATTAACCTACCTTTGGGTCGATTAATATCCGTATTAATAAACATAAACCATAAAATTTAAGTTCTTTGTAAATTAATTTTCACAAAAGAGATCACTTTGGCGATATATTGTGTCAATTACTTTACTCTGAAAATAAATAAACATGTCATAACTTTAGTTTATTGATAACATAAAATATTTGTCAAACTGTGACATTGTGTATAAGGTATACCTTTAGGTGGAACACAATTCACATAAGCAAATATCGAATAACCAAATTGATTAAAATAATAGAGATTACTTGGGTAACAATATTATATCGATCACACATCAAAAAAAATATCTTTATTTTTTTTATAGGTTCCAATGTTTGATTGTAAGCCCAAAATAGAAATTAATCTATCATAATTTATGTAATGCGCCATATTACCTTCTGCGCTAAAAACATAGATTCCTAAAATATGATCGTTATCGAACTTAATATATTTAATAAGACCCAATTAATCCTATTAAATAAAATCTAGAAAAGGATTAATAACAAAACTAGTGGTCACATGTTTGTACATGAATATCCAATTTGATACCTTTAAAAAAAATACCTTCTAATACCTTATAATTAGATTCTTACATATATTATGAAATCAAAAGAACTTTGGTCATACCAAATGTGTCTTTGACTCTCGGTTACTAACAAAAGATAACCATATATTTGTTATTCCAAAATAAAATATTTAAACGTAAACAAAGAAAAGGTATCAAAAGAAAACACCTCAAAAAAAAAAAATAATAATAATAATAATAATAATAATAATAATAATAAAACAAAAAAAATTGTCATGATCGAAAACCAAATGATCATCACCTTTTTTTTTAATTAAAGGAGAAAGATTACAATTTTCAAGAAAGAAAATTAAATATTGATACTTGATTTCTTCTAAAAGATGCATAAGAGATAAGCATGAAGAACGATACGTAACTTTTCAAATAGTAGCACTTTTGTGTATTATGATCATCTTACGGACGTTCGTTCAAGACATTCAAACAACTATTTGTCTGTCTTTTATTTAGTGATTTATTCAAATCTCTTAAAACATAAGTTTACTGAATTTGACAAACAACTCTTTGAAAAGCACTGTCTACTTTACACATAGGTTCTATACTGATGTGTACAACCTAAAACAAAAAAAAAAACTGCTTTATATCCGAATATTAGTCTTAGAGATCTGGAACCAACCCAAAATTACTTTCTGATAATAGATTCAAGTAAGCTCTGATACCAATTGTTGGTTATTTTCATAACCAAAACATAAAACGCGGAAGTATAAACTTTAGATCTTTACTCTCGAATCTGATTAAAAGAAAACTTAAACATGAAATAACAATTACATACCTGATTTCATTATGATCTTCGGATTTGAATAACTAGGTTGGGTTTTTCTAGTTGATTTCAAGAGCTCTCTCTAAAATCCCTCAGCAAACCCTAATGAATTTTCATGTGTATTTCGTGTGTCTTGATCTGCTCCTCATCACATGTATTTATAAATGGAGATAAACCCTAATGTGAGAGATGGAACGGATCTTGAGGATCTTGAGTCAAACCGGGAACTCAACCCACAAGGTAAGTAAATATTCTATAAATCGGTCCATCAACAATTTATACTCTTACCATAATAACTGGATTTAATGATAACATTACATATATATATGATGTGGTCCCATAATTATCTAACAATAAGGAACATATTAAAAGTCATTGCAGCCACTGGAAAGTTCTGGTATGTCACAAATTTTGTTATCAACCTAATCCTTATATCTCAATTCTCAAATTCAACAAGTTTTGGATGCATGCATCATTGAGTTGAATGTGACAAGTTTTATTATGTTTATATGAATTGTTACTGTAGGTTATTTCTGATTATCCACAAGCAAAAATGACAATAGAGGAACAAAAAGTTTCATTAGGGGAGACGCATGATGAGTTGGTGAAAAGGTTGGATGATGGTATTTCCGCAATCATGTACCTTGTCATTTTTATTAATCAAGGAATTTACATTTTTATTTTTCACTAAGTAACCGAGGATCCAAATCCAAATTCAGTTCCAAATCCAAACCCACAAGTGGAATCTGATTTAGTGATGGAAAATGGAGTCCTACCTGTGATTGTAGTAGATCGGGATGAAGTTATAACAGAAGTGGAGGCTGATATGAGTGATGTTATGAATTTCGGAAAGGTATGCGTTATAAAATGTTTATTGAGATAAAAAAATATTAGAGATTGTTAATATTTCAGAATTTCTTAATTTTTAAAATATTAATTATTTGATTAGAGTTCATATTTTGAAACATGAAAATATCTTTTCTTGTGCTCTTTTTCTAATTGAAATATTATCATGAACCAAAATAGATGCATCTAATTTTATATAACGATTATTTTGAAAACCAGACTCATTCCTATAGCATTCCTATAGCATTCCTATAGCATGGTTAGCTATGAGACAAGGCTCACGACAAAAATCCAAAAGTTTGTGCTGTTTTAGAGTTATGGCAAAGAATATATATAGAAGAACACTAGGACAGTTAGTTGCTCCATATCTGTATATTAAGTGTTTGCTAATGGTGAAAACTATGGTTTTTCTTTTCAGGTGCTAGCTAAACCGAATTACAACCTAGTTCTCTACTTTGCTGCTGATAGGCCAATAGCCAAAGACTCTTTGCTGGAAATATTTATTAATGGAACAAACACTTTTCGTGATTCAAGATTCAAATTGATTCCAAGCATTGTGGATGTATTTATTTTTATCTTTTTTGATTTTTGGCTAGGGTTTTTTAAATATATGATGTTGAATGATAATTTTGTTTAACAGGGGTATTGGATGGTCAAACGTGTAGTTGGATCAAGAGCCTGCCTATTAGGGAAAGTTGTATCATGCAACTATCTAAGAGAAGATAATTTTTTGGAGGTAAATGTCTAAATTACCCTTCACTAATTATAAAAAGGGTAAATCTTGTGGATGAGAATTAGTTAAAAAATAGTCTTACTAACTATGAATTGGGAAAGTCTTGTTGATGTGCATAGTGTCAAGCAAAGTAGTCAGGATGCTGTTACCCACTTGGCCTTGCTAATGTTCTCGTTTGTCTGTTTACATGTTTGTAGGTATGGTGGGCTTGCTAACATTGTTACCCATTCAATATTTCCTTATTCTCCTTTAACCTTTTTTTTCTTTGTTGTAAAAGAACTAACTTTAAAAAGGAAAGAAATTAATTGTTGAACTTTTTTATTGATTAGGTGTCTTGATTGAACTGCAGAGGTAGTGGGGCGGACAATTAGGAAGAATTGATGGCAAATCAAGCATTTAAAGGGATCCAACCGGTTGTACATGTCTTGTGTTTTTTTATAATAAATATTATGCAATATTACCAATGTATTACATTTACTTACTATTAGAATGATTATTTGTATTTGACATATTAGTGCAATGAATTATCTTTTTTATTTATTGTATTTTATTCTGTATTATGATAATTTCAATCTGTTGTTCAATTTGAAAATTAGTAATTCTATCAAATATATATATATATATATTTTTAAACCATTTAAAATTATGACACGCAATGGCGTGTCGTCTTCCTTTATGACAGGGGCTTCATTGATACGCATTGCGTGTCATAAACACACACGTAGTAAGGTTACGACACGCAAATGCATGTCATCTTTCTTTATGACAGGGGCCTTCCTTGATACGCATTGCGTGTCATAACTGCGCGTTGTAAATGTGTGTCGTAACTACGCGTCGTAAATGCGCGTCTTAATAGACGACGCACAAAAGCATGTCGTCTCTCGTTATGACAGGGCCTTCCTTGACACACATTTTCGCGTCGTCTGAGCGTTTTACGACACGCATTGCGCGTCGTCTGAGCGTTTTACGACACGCATTGCGCGTCATAAAAGGCTGTTTTTCTAGTAGTGTCGGGATCTGTGTGTTACACTATATGACAATATTTCACCATTGATCAGCAAGAAAGCAAGAAACCCTAGCTTTGGTGGCTTGGAAATTTCGACCAGAAAGAAACCTAATGGTTTCTAAAAGTTGATGCATATAAAGAGGAGGTGTAAAGATTTAGGGTTTTGGGATGGGCATATGATTCCTTTGGTACAACCCATATTATAAGTGCAGAGGCCCATAAAAATATTATTAGTTTAATGTCTATGAGGATTTAAATAAAAAAAATCCTTTGACATTATCCTTTTATTATCTCACTTAATTATTTATTAACACTTTAATAAATAACTATTCCATTAATTCCTAATGATTTATTAATACTTTAACAGATAATAAATTAATCATATTAATTTCTAAATATTTATTGAATCGTGAACAAATAATAAGTAAATTCATTTTTATTTATTTATTTTTGCATTTAATCTTGGGTCAAATGTGTAACTCGTATAGACTTGTGTAATCCATACATCATTTGTATGTGTCGTCAGTGTAACCAAGCGTATCAAACCTAGTGTAATGGGTTTTAAAAAGCTCGCACCAAGCATCAAAGTCTAATTCATTAAGATCAAAAGTGATGGACGGTGAAGACTTTGATGTTTGTGATACCATTGGACTTTTTAGATGATGACCAATGGTGGTGGTGGTTAGGGGTAGATCATCCATAGGGCTAGAAGGGGCTACTATTGTCAAATTTGGGATATGGCCCCTCATGATCAGCTCTCCAATAGTCTGAACATCAAACTAGAAGTCAAAATTAACAATCGATCGCCCCTAATCTCTAAACCTTTCGCCCCCATCTTCATTTGCTACTCGCTACTTCAATGGACGCATGCACCTGGTCTCACCAGTTACCACCACAACACCACTATGAAGTTGTGTTGTTTTCCACTGGAAATCAAGTATGCTCCTCAGCTCCTTGTAACGCCCCGTTCCTGGTACATATTAAATGTCTTTTATAAAGAGCTACTCGGCGAGTAATAGCCCTAACTGTAACGCCTGTGTTTCTGGGCTTGTCATTAATATTGATATAGTAGTCTAGGTTAACCTTTGTAACTCATTTTGAAATAATAGAAGTGTATTATTTGAGTATTTTATGTTTTGTGCTTAATTGTGTGTCTTAATTGAATTAAGTATGAAAATAAGCGTCAAAATGAAATGTTAGATAAAGTCGATATCTATGGATAATGTTGTAGTAGTTGAAACGAGGTTTCCGAATATATAAAGAATGCCGAAATCCGAGTTATAACGAAGAAGTTATGACCTGTCGAAGTTTCGCGACAGGACCAGCACGACGCTGAATGACGTAAAATATGAATTTAAGATAGAGCGATATCTAGCCTTAGTGATCTAAACGGAAGTTGTAGAGTTCGTTAAACCGAGAGCGTGCTTAAAAGAATGCCCAAATCTGACTTCGTATGAGGAAGTTATGATTTTCCGAAGTTTCGACTTAGCAGTGTGCAGCCCGAATACTCGATTTGAGATCGAGCGGTTTTTAGCTGAAACAATCTAAACGAGAATCGAAGATCTCGTCGATAGTAGTCCAACGGTAAAAAGACAGACGAAAACGGACGTCGGATGAAGAAGTTATGAATTTCTAATGGAGTTTTTCTGTCCCGGCCTACTAAAAATAATATAATAAAAATATAATAAAAATAAAATCAAAATTAGCCGACGGAGTCTAAACCAGAGTTGTAGAGCATAATCTCACCTACGCGTGGATATAAAGAACGTCGAAAACGGAGCTCGTATGCGAAAGTTATGAATTTATGAAGTTCGGGGCGTGAACCCCAAGGCTGTGTCAGAGCTCACGAGGTGAGCATATGTGGCTCACGAGGTGAGCCAGTTCACGAGGTGAGCATTAGTGACTCACGAGGTGAACAGATGATGGACGTCTTCCAGGGCAAGTGGCCGTGACGAACGCAATGACGTATCGAGCTCACGAGGTGAATATTAGAAACTCACGAGGTGAGCCAGTTCACGAGGTGAATATTAGAAACTCACGAGGTGAACTCAAAAAATTCACCCTATAAATAGAAATCGAGGGTCAGCCGGGTTTGGTTGCTCATCCCTTACTCTCCCACTCCCGATACTCTCTCTAAGCCCTATTTTAACCCCCCGAAGCCCCGTTATCATCCCGAGACCCGAAGCGAGTCCCGAAGCCTTGAAGATCCCGAGAAGTGCAATTCCCGAGCGGAAGCTCTGCCAGCGAGAAGCCAATTTTTGTGAAGATCTTCCAGATCTACCGAAGAATACTACTTCTAGAAGCCGTAGTGCTGTCCGATCATCTTCTGATCAAGTGAGTGTGTAGTTACTATCTTCTAACGCATAATTATGAAGTATTTTATATGAAATACGTGTTATGTGTATATTTTGTTGTTATATGTGTGAATGTATATTCACTTTCTTCTATCTCATAGATATGCTTTATTCTCTATGAAATACGTGTTATGTGTGTGTGCCTCATCTGTTATGTGGAATATGTATTGAATGAACATGCTATACAGGTTTTAAACTATGTATAAAAATATATATTTTTATCTACTAATATGTTGGGTAGAACATGGGTAGATAGTTGATGTGTGATAAACAGATGAGAGGCCTTGATGTTGTTGTTGATCTAGTCATCTAGCGGAGTATGGATGACGACCACAGACTCTTTCTAGACAGTCCAGTGGAATGCTAGTAGGCTCATAACCTGTAGGTGTTGTGAACGATGTGTTCACCGGTGTACTCTATCCCCCTCATGGTTGCCTTTAGGACATCTATTGTTGAGGAAACCCCTTGCAGTAATGTCCGTCTCGATGAAAAATCCTAGATTAGGTCCCTTGAGATAGATGTTGTTTTAGGGACGTAAAGTGAGGATAACGAGAATGGGTAATCGGGTTATTGTTGGTTGGTGAAATTAAATATAATTATTTATTGTGGGTTGAAAACCCTATATGCTCACCAGGCTCCCAAGCCTGACCCACTCAGTTTTGTTTATATTACAGGTAGTGGTGCGAGAGCATAATTTGGATGACTTAATCAAGATGTTTTGATTTTAGACCTGTTGTTATATGTAACTGTTGTAAGGTCTATACTGTGTTGTTTATGCTTTTGGTCTGTTTATCGGAACATGACATCCCGAATATTGTTATATAATGAAAATGCATCTCTTGATGAAATGCTTTGATAAATTCTATTTTATCATGTTTTGTTTTGGGAACAAATTCCGCAACCCTTTTTAATCAATGGATTACTCTGAAATTATTTTAAAAGCATAAATGAAACCGGTCTTTTATGGCCGTGATTTTGGGGATGTCACAGTTGGTATCAGAGCATTAGTTTAAGCGAACTAGGAATTTGTAGGATTTCTAGACTTAAACTTAGAATGCTAAGCGATGATTTTGAGATGCGAGCACTAGTTTATTTTAGGAAAGATGCCTAAAATGCTTTTATGTGCTAAATGCTATATGTTTGCCATATATGATATTATTTGTTCGGATCTATGGTCTGTGGCCGACCGGATCTGGAAACCTTATGTGTTTAGAATTCTAAGCGTGCGACTACGGAATTAGAATTAGCATGTAAACGTTTCGGAGTGATAAGGAGATTTAGACGTTTATCGTAAATAAAGCTTCCTATCTTAAATTCTCGCCCGGTACACCGAACGGCTGGTTGGTGTACAAAACGTTATGGTGAAGACTCGTAGAGAATTGAGTAAATGGAGAAAATGAAAGGCTTATGAGAGTGAATGACACCTATCGGAAGATATCTTAAGAGTGGTATCTTGCCTTTAGAATATGTCTGATAAAATAACGGAACGTTTAGGGGAGTACGGTACGTCTGAGGTACACCTTCGATTGGCAGGATGGTGGAACGATTGGTGTAATTCTTGAAGTTGTCCCATCGTATGGAATTTCCATCACCAACCGAGTTGAAGTAGAATTGATGATTGAAGATACGCATGGAAGAAGTCCTAGTAGAGTCTAGGAGAATTTTTATGATTAATTGGACACATTCGTATGTGTTAAACTGTTTTGTGATTTTAGGACTTGGGGACTGCGGGACAATACTTGGGACGAGTATGAGTAGGTGTGAATAGTAGTAGAGATCTATACTACTGGAAGCACATGACTCACGCTTGGATCAGGGAAAGTCACAAGGTTAACAAGAAGCTAGTGATTGGTCTCATTTTATTCAAGTATGTCGTTACCATTGTTTCGGTAGTGACTAAAAAGATGATTGATATTCTAACCCTAGCGGTCATATCAAATTGAGTTCGACTACGATGAGTTTGTTACGTGGTTCATAG